TCCAGTTCTAGATTTCATCATTTCAGCGCGCTGTTATGCATCGGTATTTTTGGAGATTTTTTTTACAATCTAATGATATTAGCAAGATTGCCGCTAATCTACGTCACCATTTCCCAAGAAAATGGTTTCATCACGATAAAGTCGGATTGATCGTAATGCTACCAGGAAAATGGTTTGCAATCCTAAAAAAAGCGGACAAAAATGCTTATATAAATACCTATTTAAAGAGTCGTTACAGTGTTATAAGTATGAGTTATTGACCAAGTGTGATGTCAAGATGGCTGGACATTGGCCAAGTTCTTTTTTTGCGTGTTTATGAACCGAGACGGAGTCAAGGTCCATAAACTCGCGAAAAAAGAACGAGGCCAGTATCCAGTCACCTTGACCGAACAAGCTTGGTCGATAAAGGATTTATTATATGGCTTTCAGGGATATTTTTCTTGCGGGACACGGCGGGTAGTCCCGAGCGGAGCTAGCCATATAATAAAGTCATGTATTGCAGTATGTCTTAATAACAACTCACATTAGATATATTCATTCAAAAATGCGAGAACTCTTTACTTATTTTTAGTTTTACTTTATTCTCTTTTAGATGTTGATATCAATGCCTTAATTCATTTTTACATGAGCGATTCACTGTCCCATGTTTAACTGCAATTCCTTAATTTCATGTGGGATCATTTCGGGGTCGATATGGGGATCATTTCAGGGTTGGGGATCATTTCGGGGGATTGGCCAGCAACTGGCTAATAAAAGGAGCTTTCCATTCAGTGAAATATTCCGGTTACAGGGTTCAACCTTGAGAGGTATACCCACATTTTGGGAAATTTCTTACCGGGAACTTCCTTACCATTTGACTTCTCTCGCCCCGGTTTCGGTTGAAGGGTTCGCTTTTGGAAATTCAATAATATCCGGGTTGTATAGAGACATCCCCAGGAAATTTCCTTTCCATTTGTCTTCGTTTCGATTTTTTTTTTTTTTTTTTTGACGGAAAGCGTTCAGTACAAAAAGCAGTTAACATACAAGCATTTTTTTTCTCATTGAGAGCACACAGTAGAACTGCAAACGAACTCCTGAAATAAGTGCATAATGTGTTTTTGTCATTGATTTATTTATTGCAAATTATTTTATTTCTTTTTGGTAGGAAATTTCTTATCATCGAAATGCGAAATAAGCTAATCGTACTGAAAAATATTTTTGGCTTTGCGTGAAACCATACCAGCATTGAAGAATATTTTATGTTTGTTCGTACTGCTAGCCTCAAACCCCAACTTTGGGATAGATATCAGATAAGCAGACGCTTGTTGAAAACTTAACTTAGCACTACAATAGCAGGATGTATTCACTGACAACAAAAAATAATCCACAATGGGGTTGAATACACTGAAATAAAATAAAATAGTTTAGGCATTGACGCAGGTGATGATAACGATAGTATAAACAAACGCAGATTTTGTTGTAAACGAGAAAAATCGATCGCAAGCGAGTGTTAGCAACTATCCACGTATAAGAATAAATAAATGATTTAATCAATTAAAATGATAAAACAACCTCAAAACCCGATTTGACACCAGACTTCAGTCAGCTTTTTAAGGTATCATGACGGGGTTGAGGTAATTAAGTTGATATTTTTGCTTTTACGGTTTTGGTTATTTTAAGGTCAGTTTTTCGGTTTCGCATTTAAAATATCCGGTTTTTCGGTTATGACACTTGTTGCGGTTTTGGTGTTAATAATAATAATAATAATAATAATAATAATAACAATGTATGTTAGTGGCTTATAATAATATAATAATATAATAATAATAATAATAATAATAATAATAATAAACGCTTTCTTTGGTCTTGGTTATTTTCTTGTATAGTTCCTAGACATTTTTTCTTCGCCTCGATCAGTCCCAAGTTCATGATGTGTCCCAGGTTTCATGATGCTGCCGGTGAATGCTTGAGGAAAACTCTATCAGGGGAAAAACATCCAAAATACCCTCCGGCCCAATGATGCAAGATAAAGCGTGAACGTTTATTTGGGTGGAACCACTTTACGACTAACTCGACTTGCAGGCTAAACGGCTTGCATTGATGTGTTCTACACGAATTAGAATTTAAAAAAAAAACAATAGAGAAAAAAAAGGAAAAAAAAAAAAGGAGACAAGAGATGGAATTATGATCAAGAAAATCGATTGGGAGATTAGAATCACCTTCTCTTGACCTCAAATATCTAGCAGGTGAGGAGTTACCAGTAAGCTAAAATGGTAGGCCAATGATTACAAATTAAAGGTTCTTCAGCTCCAAAGAAAAAAAGTACATGTACATGTCTTTCGCTGCTGTATCAAGCTTGGTGGATTCAAGTGTGTGAATTAATTTGCATTTTTAAACATGATGCTGGGCCGTATTTCGGTTTTGAATGATTTTTACGTTCATTGGTTTTTTCGTTTTCAAAAACAAAATTGTGCTCTCTCTCGGTTTCTGCAATAGGCCCCAGTGCCTCGTCTATAATTAACAGCTTAGGTTAATAGCAAACACTAGTTGTCTGAAATTGTGTTGAAATTGTCTGCATGTGAGAAGAAAAGGTGCTCGTTCTACACAAGTATGATTGCTAAATGTCTGCCGCTTTGACATGAAGGGGCGCCTTTCTTTTTGCCACGTCTAACACGGCTCAACGACACTATCTTTGATTGGATGATCAATGATGAACGCTACGCATGCACTACCCATTCCACTCAGCGGCGAGACCGATCTTATATCAAAGGGAGTGCATGGCATTCATCGTCACATGATACTGGTGCGGGTTTTCTTACAGGAACGAAAATCGTGAGTCGGTACAACGACCGGGTCGAACTCACATATCGTTCCATATTTCACTTTAAGCTAGTATCACGAACGGGGGTGCTCGACGTACCTTTTAGGGGTTAAAAAAGCGGTTTTGGTGCTCAGCCTTGAAAGGTCCACAGCGGGAACTTTTTCGGTACCTTTTAGGATATCGAGCTGAAAAAAATACGATAAGAGATTTGTTGTTTTAGAGTTGGTATTTTTTAGGGGAAAAAACAAAAAATTCCAGCCACGCCGACACAGCAAGATATTACTTCTAAGGGGTTGTTTTCAAAATTTCCGAGCACCTACGTCCATTTTATATGGAGTCACCCCCCCCCCCTCCCCCTTACCCTCTGGGGTATCACGAACGGCAGTACAGAGCCAGAAACGAAAACCGGGTTGAACTCATACCGTACGTTGTCGCGTCGACAGCCCCGGGCACCAAAAGTCAATCATTTGTGAGTAGTTCCATTCAACCAAAGGAACAGAGCCAGCCGCGTTTACGACTCAAGATTGGTCTCTACTCATATACTCCATCTCTCTGCTTAGCGCTGGAGTATTTCATCACGTTATATAAGATGAAAGGTATGGCAATTCGCCTGAAGCTTAGTTAGATTTTCCTTTTTGAATATAACTTAGGTTCTAGATAAAATGCAAGTTTTCATGAGTCCATTAGCACATTAGATCCTTTGTTAAACGACCCCACAAGCTTTGTAGCTTTGAAAACTATCGTTGTAAAATATAGGTTGATTGAAAGGTGAAGCGGAATTGACTGAGAAGCGACAGAAAGATCTTCCTTTGGTTTAGAAATGCTAAATTGAAACTTGGAATTTGAATACAGTGTTGTCAAACAGCAACGATCCTAGCATTGAACACAAAGGACGGTTTGACTAACTGGCAAAAGGACAAGGACTAAGGAGATGATCAGCCTTAAGCTATAAAGATAGGTTTAGAAAATCAATCAACCTACCTTGTCAATAGACGAGTTAGTTCCAAATAAGTTGTCTCCGTGCAGATAATCGAGAACAGTTTCAATGCAAACATATATGTTCCTCAAGTAGAAGAATAACTAGTCAATACCCTATCACATACTACGTCAAAATACTATGACGTTAAATTATAATTAGTTGGACATTTTTTTTTTTTCCGTTTCGATTTTCAGTTGTGTGGATTGAGACAAAGAACACCACACTTCTAATCAAAATGTGCTTTTTTCGGTTTCTATAACAAGCCCCAATGTCCCCCGTATATAATTAAACGCTAGTAGGGCAGATTCTAAATGTGACAATCTAAGAAAATGTTTGCATGTGATCATGAGAAGGAGAGGTGCTCGTTCTACACGGTTATGATTGCTAAATTTCTACCGCTTTGACAACGCCTTTTCCAACGCGGCTCAGTGAAACTATCTTGGATTTGATGATGAACGCTACGCATGTACTATTACCCAATCCACTCAGCCATTAGACTGACGTTATACCAAAATGGAGAGGGCATGATACTGACCCTGGTTTTCGTACCGGTCATCTCCTTTCGCACCTCGTCAACGAGTCTACAATGAAAATATCTTTGGGCTTTATTATATATGGGATCAATTTTCACCTACGGTATTCTAACACGGTCTTTCCTATTTTCTCAATGAAAAGCATTTCTCTTCAATATATACACATTCCGTAATCTTAATGTTACTAGTATTCTTACTGGTTCGCTACCTCTGGCTAATGAGTATTATTCACTCGATCTCCACTGATCTACTGCATACCGAATGCGTGATCCAAACAAAAGCAAACTGGCTGGTTTAAACTCGCGTTTCGCCAGCGAATCTGAATCGTAAATCCTTAAAATATATAATAAGATGCTGTACCAGAAAATGCAAAGAAGGCTGTGAAATTTGGCCTGAACGTTTTCAAAGGATAGAAACGACTTACAGACGTTCGACTTTCCAGCAGTTTCAGAACATGTCCATGCAATCACAGATTTCTTTAATCTACGCATATCCGACTACCGAGCAAAATGTCAGTTAGAATAAGTCAGCTACTTTAAACGTATCAAATTGTTCTTGTTTGCAATATAATAAACATCTTATTAACCGAACTTAGTCGATCTTTATGGGAAAATCTTTCCCTCGGTCGCGTGTACAGACCTCACTGCGTTCGGTCTGTACTCACGACCTCGGTCAGATTCTCCCATACAGACCTCCTGCTCGGTTAATAAGAAAAAATCTACAAAACGTAGATTACATGTGAATCTTTATGTTTTTTTTGTTTTGTTTTTTGTTTTTTTGTTTTTTTGTCCCTACTCCATATCAATTAGGCAAAAACAACATGTCAAGTATAATATGAATGTTGCTGGTCAGAAATTGTCATAGATATAAGCAATTTAGAGCATGTGTAATTTTTGCATCAAGGGAGCAAACACAAAAGAATTAGAATTTTTGTCGTTTCAAGTTTAAGTATTTAATTTTTTAGGATAAAAACTAGGAAATGATCTCAGAGAGAACGAAACATCGCTTTTTTAGCTGTAGTTTTGATCTTATCCTGCTTATTAGAATAGTTATTTAATTTTATTTTATTTTATTATAACATTAACCCTCAGACGTACAAACGGCGGTAGGATGCAAATTTCTGTTCCATTTGATTTTCACTCTGGAATTCCCCGAATTTTCGGTTGAATGGTTCACTTTTCGAAAATTTAACAATTTCCGGATTTTCTGGAACATTTCCCGGAAATTGCTATATACCATTTCTCCCCGTTTCGAAAATTTCGAGTTGTAGGTTTGATTTACACGAAACAATTCATGTCGAAGGCCTGTCGTAAGCTTGTCGCATGCGAGAAAGTCGTACCGTGTAAAGCGGCCCTTAGTCGAGCTGACGAGCACACGAGCTGAATGTAAGCGATTCTGGAAATTAGATTAAATTTCAGACGTTGAAAAGGGAATTGTCTCTACGAACAATTGCTCTAAAATTGGCACAGCGAAGCCATCAACTCGATTTTTAAAAGGCAATGCGGTTAAGATAAGAAAAAGCTAGATGTCAAATAATTTTCTCTTAATTCTAATTTTTAGCACTTCTCAGTCCCAGCAAAGGTTAATCTGGTTAATGACAAAATAAAAACATTGCAACCCAATCTAGTTAACTGATTTCAAAGCCACCTGAGTAAGTCGGCCATCATCAATAAGAGTAACGTCCTTGACCTAAATGTACTCGTAGTTCCAAAAAGGATGCTAATTTAGAGACAGCCGTGCATAACTAATGTCGACCAAACCATTTAGAATATTTACGCTAGATCTCAGCCTTTTAATTTTCGGTTTAATTTTCCTGTCAGAAAACATCAATTTTGAAAGATTGACTATGTTTCATCTTCAAATTCGATCTGGCCCAAATTATTAAAAACAATTAAGACAAGAAAACGAACAACCCAGCCATTCCCCAAAATCAATATACTCAGAACTTTGCTAGTCAAAGAACATAATTAACAATTTAAACCATTTGGGGGTACGGGTTTGCAGGATACATCATAAGTAGTTTAATCTGAGCAGTGTAACGGTCAGTAAGTTATCGCTAAAGCTTCCATTTTAAAAGCCGGGGCTCAACATATATTTAACAATTATTCCACTCGCGCTTGTTTGATTTGAGATGATAGATCGATAGCCTACGAGTTACGTCGCGCTTGAAAGTTAGCAGCTCATTTCAAGGAAATATAGCTGTCTCGGCCAGCTTCGAACGTTAACAAGTCCTTATACTTCACAACTGACAGGGCAGCTACAAGGCTGATGTGACGAGCTTGGTTGAGTGAGTCTGCCTGGACTAGTTTGAGGTCGTTTCTTTGAAATGGCTGAACCGTAAGGACCAACCAGCTTTGACCTTGTTGAGTGTTCTTTTGTTTGCCACAAAAGCGAGGAAAATGAGAAATCCTGAAAAAGATCGAGTTAACAAACAGTCAATCAAAGATATATAACGTTTTCGTTTTTTTTTTTTTTTCTTTTTTTTTTAAACCTTAGACTTCGTTTTACGAATAGCGCGTCATTTGCTGCTCTCGATCTTCACCGCTCTCTCGAGTCTGATTTACGTTCCTCCCGAGAAGAGAAAGGAAGGAGACCAGGATCGAGGGAGCGAGGGAGGATCGAGGGAGGAGCGTGTACTCCTTTGCCGAGCTCAGTGGCTGATAATCGAGCCTAGCCCTTGCGATAGGTATTGTTTACGGTAGAGCTCTTGTGGCACTAATACCGGGATAACATCTAGAATTTGGGTAGCTAGGCACAAAGCAACAATTGAAAAGATGTTAGCTCATTTAGAAGTATGGTACAGTATCATTATAACCTGAGTAGGCTTATCTGATCAGTCCACTAACTACAACATACCTTGTAGGCTGTTTAAAATAACAAAAATGTAATCAAGGAATTCGACTTGAGTGAATGGCACGATAAAACCCAGTATCCAGGTAAATCCCATTGCTGACGACAACTTGATGTACAGGATAGGCAGGCTGGTCTGCTTACTCTGATCTGTCACGCGACGGGTGGACTTTGTGAGGTAAAATAGCAAACACGGAAAAGTTAGGCTTTACATCGCAGGCTTTAGCTTTAGACAGTTTAAACTCTCATTTATGCCATCTGACTGGTGTGAACCCAGACCAAAAAAAGGCTCATCTGAATGTGGCTGAATTAGTTTTCGTTAAGTGAAAGATGCCTCCAAAGATGGAAACATTCACGGCTTAATAGGTATGCAGGTTTCCAGTAAACGACATGCGGCTAGAGTATTAACGTTTAGTCATTCCTTGAATTTGTGAAATGAGAGCAAATTGCAATCAGTTTTTGGCAGCTTTCAAACACACAAAGGATCTGAACACGCGATCAATTTCTTTTACAAGCGTAATTCTCGGGGACACGTTATAATACAGAGGCATATAATTTTTTAATTACCTCACTAGACCATTATTTTATAGAACCGAATTAGCATTTTAGCATTCCATTTTCAGATGTAATTTTCTTGATAGCGCCCCCTTAATATCACTGCAAAAAGCAAACGTTAAAAGATAAGCGTAAATATTTAAATATTATGGCTGGCCTTACTCCTTTAACGTTATACATAGATAGACAATTTCATCAGCAAGGGTCAATTATCTCTAGAAACAGTACCTTTTGAACTTTCCAGATAGAAACCAACGTGAACGTGAGAGCCACGATGTTAAACAGTAGAATCAGTGCCACAGGAACACCAAGAACAACGAGAAGTGCTTTTCCATTAGAAATCCAGCAGAATACGTCACCGACTGGAGAAAATAAGCATTGGCTTTACACTTTTACTAATACAAAGCAACTTTATTTGGGAGTAACTTCCAGGGAGTACTTGAGCATACATATATGATTCATGACTTAACAGCAGGCAGTAGATGGAGTTAGCATTACATTTACCAGACACCCATTTATATACTAATGTGAATCAACGTAATGCAGCAGAGTCAAGTGCCTTGTACAAACATACAGCGTGATGACAACAGCCAGCTAGCAGACGCCGAGCCCAGACTGTTTTCTTCTGGTTTCCAGTGTAATAAGCATTAGACCAGCATGCCTCTTATAGGTTATTGGTGTACTAGGTTATTAAACTGTGGTATTATATGGCCAGGTAAAGTTTACTGAAGGTGGAATGATATTCAGTGGGAGGGTTAGGCATTGAATTATACAGTTTGCTTTTTGCGACATTTGAGCCCATGAGCCTAAAAGCCTTAGAAAAGTGTAATAAGGAGGATGAGAAGCACCAATAACTTTTCAAATAGGTATAAGCCAAAACATAAATTGAATGAAAAATTTAGGGAAGCGATCAAACGAATAATGTGCAGGACTTACCATAGCCAATCATAATAGTGTTTGTTTTATCAAGAGTCACACTGATGATCACAATAACAGCAGGAGTGGTCCAGGCAAGAATGCTGTATTTTATTAGCTTTTTTCTGCTGTCACTGGGACGGGAACGTGCAGCTTGCCCTGTCCCGGAGGAAAAAAAATAACCATTTTCTAGATACGGAAGAATAATTTCTACAGTATCGTCCTACTTGGAGTACATGTTTTCTGTGTAAGAGAACTTCTCCCTAAAACAAAACATCTCATCTTTTAGGAAACGAATTACCTTCCAACTTTAACTTCCACCGTCCCACTCTTTCAAGCAAAAACGTTTTAATTCCAATTCTCTATTATTTAATGTACATGTTGCTTGTCTTGTTTATTGTTGCTGATTTTGTTCTTGTTGTTATTGGTTTTTTTTTGTTTGTTTTTTGCTTGTTTTTTCTTGTTTTTGTCTGCTTTGAGTTTAACTGCGCGTGTTATATATGCTATTACCTCTAGGTCTCTTTCCCCTTAATTTCGCTATTTGCAATATCACTATTCGGCGTTCAGGTGCATTGTTTCACTAAAGAATTCGAATCAGTTACCTTTCGCTCCAAAGGTCTTTGCAACATCGAAAGCCATCACACCCATCCAACAAAATGAAGACAACAAAAAGTAATGAAGCAGGACGGAAACCGTTATGCAAAGATATGGTTTGTCAGCCTGACCGGTCAACAAGAAGAAGATATCATACAAAAGCATTGCACAAGCCAGACTGATGAGGTTTTTTCCGGGTAATGTTCTCAGTTCTGGCAGAGCAATGTAAATAGCCAACAGGAAAATCAAGGTTGTCATGGAGATGGTGCAGCCAATGTACGTTAATATCTGAAGTGGTGTTATCTCCGTAGACAAAAACACCTCAGTGTCAGTGTAACTGCGTTTGAGGTCCATGCAAAGAAACACATAAGAACCATTTATGAAATAACTTTCGTTGCTATATATCCTATTGCGCGACGGAATCCATATTGAACCATTAGGCAACAGAGTTATCGAACTGACATTGATCTCGATAAAGGAACAGTTAACGTAAGTTCCGTTATCCAACCCCTTGTTGGGTATATTCCAGTGCATTTGAACGCATTTTTCGACGAAGGGATCAAATACGAAACCATCAGTGCACATCTTATTCTTTACAACTGTCTCCTGATTCCCCACCTTTATTGTATGAGAAGAAGAGGAAAAGTCAAACAAAATTTCCAAAGAAGGTATGGCACCAGGTGCTGTAGGCACTGGCGGACTTGGTGGTTGACAGCGACACCAATACTCACTAATATCATTCCCTTTGCAGATTTCGCAGTGAGGGTTCTTTGTTCGGACGCTGTAGCAAACTGGAAAGGCGTAAAACGAACATAAGTCTGGTAACAATGGCTCTGTTTCAATAAGCTCTGAATGCGGACAATTTTTTTCTACAGCTAAACATCGTTTTGAATGACTGCTGCGATTGCTTGGTGGCTCAAAACTCCATTCACATGAAGACATTATAAACTGCAGCAGTAATGATCTGTTTCTTGGAAGGTCATAGGCGTCTTTGCACGAGGCAGAAAATTTCCAGTAAGTCTGGTTCTTGACATGATTGCATCTGGCGCAGAATACATTCTTGTAATCAGTTTTTTCTACGAAGTCTGACACAGGCAGCATTCCAAAGAGGTCGGCTGTTGAAGATTTGGCAGAACACAAAGATTCAAGTCGCTTGTCAGTGTTATGAAGAGGACAGCTGTCAATCACGGAATAGCCATGGTCTCCGGCTGAGTTCGCTGTTTTCACACACGTTCGTTTCAAATGACTTATCAAAGATTTAGGCGTGTTGGCAGTAGCGCATCTTTAGAAAAAAAATGCTCAAAATTAGTTATACAGACAGGGGATGTTGCGTAAGACATGGACCAATGACGATGAGAGCTGTTGTTTAGTAAAAAGTGCTAACTTGTTTATTACAAATAGGGCAGTCAACTGAAAGTTATTTCCCTACCAAATTGGAAGTTCCCAAATCTTGAGCATGGAGATAGAAAAAAATTGAAAATCAACTAACCTTGAGAAATAGTCATAGCAACAGTCTCCAAGTTCAACACACAACTTATCGCAATAACAAGGCTTCTCGAGGTCTCTTTCTTGTTCCTCTGTGTCTAAAGTGCAAACTAAATCACAAGAGTACTGGAAAGAGGGGCATATATTTCTCACGTCAAAACGACCAGAAGTCATATTCAGTCTGAGAAGGAGATCGTGTGTGCTGACTTTCTTGTCGTAAAACTGAACAACCAGATCTTCAAAAGCTAAAATATGATAAAATGTAAATAACAAGCAATGTAAATAAGTTAACTGATTACTTGTCAAACAGTTTACTAAACCACTTCGGAATCCGAAGTTCTGATGAAGTTTTCTCTCTATATAGATTGGTTTTGTGACACTGCATGACATTTGCAGATTTCAGACTACGTACATTTAGGCCTAGATATCGCTCCGGTTAGCCTGAATAGCGTTCAGGCTAGTCTGTTCACCGGTAGCTCTCGATAATTGGAACGGGAATATGATATTGCTTTAAGAAATCTGCAGTGTGCAGTTTGCGGTCTGCAAATACCATACCCCAGTGTTGTTATCAAGATTAAGCCTGTTAACATAATATTTTGGGTAATGATCCAGTAAACACATTTAATGGAACGGAGAGAGTTGTTAATAGCAACGTTAATTAAATTGAAATATGGAAAACTGTTCGAATCAGTACAATTAATACGAAACCATTTTCAAAAGTAGCGGTTGAACCTGAACCCAGTTTTTATTTTAGAACTACTTAGATTCCTAATATGGAGGTATCAGCTAGCCTCATTAGTGCTTGGCACTAAACTTCACAAAATATTGAAGATGGCTAAAATGTTCGTATTTTCTCTTTCTCTCTCTCTTTTTTTTTTTACTTTTCCGGCCCTGTAAATGACATTTTAATTTCTATTACTTTAGTTAAATATTCTTTAAAACCAGCCAGTTTAGATTATTTTGGCGCATTCAGATGTTTAACTCAAAAAAAAAAACAAAAACAACTATACATTGTGCACGAAAACGATGAAACTATTACATTGCGAGTGAAGCGTAAATCAGCTTGGTGAGATCGCATAGAAAGCGCATGTTTTGAAGACTCTTTTGCTATGCAGTCAGCTGGTTATTAACTGGACTCGTGGCTATTTTTTTTAAACGAAAACGCTGGAAAATTAAGCTCTGTGAATCGTTGGAACAGGTCTTAAGGACACAATACATTGTCCAGTAAAGAGACCTAGACAGCAGCGTAGCTATAATACGTACCTGACGGAGGAGGCGGGGAAGGCACTGGTCTGGTTGGTAGAGGCGGCGGCGTTGGCCGTGTTGGTGCAGGTTGCGGTGAAGAAGTGTTGACTGATTCGGTGGAGTCAGTGAGGAGGAGGCACAGGGCAACAAAGGCGAACATCCTTGTGTACGTAATGGTACTCTGGAAACAGGAACATGTTCAAATTTAAGAGCTGTTTATATCTTGAAACTAAAGCAATTGGTTACTGGTGCACCATGAATAGCACGAAGTTGTTAATTATTCATCACGGTCATTAGCAATTTAGAACGCAATTTAGAACGCCTGACGTGTCATCTTTCTATAAAATACAAAGGAATATGCCTGCAGATACAAATAAATACTGTTCTCTATTTAACATTTAGATCATGAATTTGAGATTTCTATGGCACGATAGTTGACGAGGGTGCAGCGATTTACACTTGAACCACGTATGCCTTAAGGAATCGATAGCTTTTTGGAAAAAAATAAATAACAACAACATTTACCGCAAGGTTTTCTTCTGTTTTCTAAAGGAGTAAGTTATAAATTTAACCGTCGCAATTTTGATACCTCCGTTGCCGTGCTACTTACATCATACCATGGAGAAATCACAAAAAGCTTATTCTGCTTATGAATATAATTGATAAACTGTTTTTAGAACTCGTATGTCACTGGTCAACGTTATTCTATAAATTATTCGTAGGAGCGAACTTAAACCTCACCCAAATAAACCAGAAACAAAATCTCATAGATGGCTATGAGTGTAGAAAATTAAGATGGATTTGCTAGGCAAGATCGTGACAACACAAGGCACTACTTTCACAAAAAAATACCTTATTTACTTTCGTTTTCAGAGCTCTGTGTAAGTAATTCAGTTGGATGGTGGAATTATCCGTCAAACGACAATTTCCCCCATGATAAATAACCGCTATGCTATTGGGGTTACCAGCAAATTAGAGCAGAATTAACCTATAATAATTTTATCTAAACCAGAGGGTGCTTTAGTGACAACTGGCGAATATACAATTATAATAACCTGACTAATTATGCGCTTGGAATTAACATGAAGTTAGAAGTACGTGTGTAAGGCCACGTAAGGATTCTAACTTCATGAACGTCAACAAAGGGAAATGAAAAATATAATATCTATCAATAAAAATAACATAAAGTAAAGTAAGCTAAAGGAAATTTAATCAAATGGCTAGAAGCTAAAGAGTTAGTAAAACAAACTTCATTATTAGCCTTTTCACTAACTACGATTTGGTCATAATTACATTTGGTTAATGGCGATAAAAGTGGTGGCTTGAATCTGTGGAAATAATTAGTTGAAAGCAAGATAATTTTGCGAGACAAACAAAGCTTCGAGGTAGATTTGGTCAGAATTAAATTATTTGATGACGATAAAAGTGGTGCATTAAGTCTGTGGAAATAATTAGTTGAAAGCAAGATAATTTTACGAGAAAAACAACGCTTCAAGGTCGATTTGGTCATGATTTAATTTGGTCTGAATGACGATACAAGTGGTGGATTAAATCTGTGGAAATAACTTGCTCACAGCAAGCTAATTTTACGAGAGAAGCAAAGCCGGCTTCAAGTTAGGCTTCGGCCATCCTTGCAAAGGCATAAAACTGAAAGCACAGTTCGCATTATACATATTCAATAGCAATATAACTTTCTTCAGCAAGCAAATTGACATTTTGTGAGAGGAAACTGAAAATCGATTCGGGAATAACAACAAGAACAAACCTTACGACTGAAGGATCAATCAGAAAACGTGGGTAGCTGCTTTCAATTTCCACTGTTAGATCAAGGCACTGATGAATTCGACTGCAAGGTTATTTGAGCACGTTCATCTAGCAGGTGCCTTATTAAGTAGTGTAGCCTACATAATTATCCATCAATCAATCATGTGCTGTTGGCCTATCCGATGTTGGATTTATTAAGCGATAAGCACGCAAATATGCTCTTGTGAATGATGGATGGAGAGGTCTTAAATTTTGAACCCTTCGAGCTAAGACGTTAATTGGGCTGCCAACCCCTTTCAGAGCTACTCTGCAATGATGTCAATGATGTCAATGAAATCAATGCTTTTACCGCTGCGAAAGTTCTTTAATAATATACTTTCGGCTATTAGCTTCATATCCAAATAAAACAGTAACAATAAATGGATTTTGCGATTAAAAATTCCCCATGCTTTGGATACGCTTGAACAGTACACTTTGGTTATATTATTTTTATTAATCAACAATAAATGTGCACGTTTAAATTTGAAATAATATATTGATATACGTAATAATTGTAGTTAATTGTTGTATCACTGTAATGAATTTACTATGTTGAGTTCATTCTTGTGACAAGTGTCAGTTTTGCGGAGCTGTTTTTACGGCACCTGAAATTAAGCTTTATTATAGAAAATTGCCGCTTTTTAATGCTATTGAGCCCAGAGGGCTGTGAGGGGGAGGGAGGGAGGGACGCGAATTCTTTAACTAGGGACATTAGACGTAACCATTAAT